TTCCAGAGTAAAGCTATGTTTGCAGAGATTTGCTTTTTTTTTTTTTTTCTCTCTCCCAACCTGATGGTATTTTCAGGAACAAATAGGCTGTGTTCTGCCTTGCTGAAGCATAACACAGAGCATAAATGAAAATATAAATATGGACAGGCAGAAGATTGATGGCAAAAACTGCTTTCTTTATTCATGCACAAAGTGGTGTGTTAGTATATGTGTGATTAGCGATGCAGCTCACAGAACAGCAATTTAAAGCTTCACTTTTAAACGAGCAGTTTAGAGAGCCGACATTTATTTACAGCTTGACAAACCTTCACACGTTGTGTTGTTTGGGCTAATGGACTATTTTGAAGTCTCTTTGAGATCTTAGCAACTCTGCATCAATTTAAGTATTACAAAAAGAGTCCACAGAGGAGGACATGTTAAAAACCTCAATCAAATGACATCTTCAATTGTGTAAACTTCTCAAACTGTGAATAGATTTAGCAAAGGCCATTTATAATAATAATAATCCTGTAAGAACTTGAGTAGGTGCTTATTTGGACACTCATTAGTTATCTTTCATCACACTAGGCTTTGGCTCAAAATTATAGTTGATTATACAAGGTTATTGACAAACAAAAGAAGAGCTACCGTACATCACCATTTTACTCCGCCCTCGCTTTCAGAGAGCTTTTGTTTGATTTATTCTTGCACATTTGCTAGTGCATTAAAAAAAAAAGAATAACACAAAAAAATAAAAACAAAAACCTTTAATAATTTATCTGGATCTGATGTACAGAAGTAGAGTCTTAGTCAGCAGACAACTATCACTGACAGGGTCACCTGTCCTCATTTTTGCTCTCCTCTATTGTTCCTCTTAAACACATAATACCCCAAAACCTTAAATCATTTCTATTCCAACCATCCATTTAATGATAAGGATTATGGTGTTTTATGGACTTTAGTCTTAAAGTTTAGATTTTTTTATTAGACCCATTCTTTTCAAGAATGAATGACTGCGGATGTGCATCTTAATAAATACCTAATACAAACTCACCAAAAAGTTAATCCATTCTAGACATTTACTTAAAAAGCTTAAAATGTTTGTTTCTTGAATTGGTAAATGGCTTGTACTTTTACAACGCTTTGGTCAAGTCTCCTGACCGCTTTCCACTACAATCATTCATTCACCCATTCATTCACACACTGATGGTGGCAAACTATGTTGTAGCCACAGCTGACGGGGGGGCTCACTGACAGAAGTGAGGCTGCCGTACACTGGTGCCACCAGGCCCTCTGACCACCATAAGTAGGTGATACGAGTGAAGTTTCTTGCCCAAGGACACAACAATACTGAAAGCTGGAGCCGGGCTCAAACCAACAACCCTCCAATTGCAGGGCGAACTCCTACACTCGATGCTACTGTTGTCCTAGTCAAGTCAAATTTCTTAGAATAAGGGAACTGTAATTAAGACCTAAAACATACGTTTTAAATAAACAAAAATAGTAACCTACTGAAAAACCATTAACTGTACGGCACAGGCAAGTCAATGTAACTGAGTAAATGTAACTAGCTGCAATTAGGGCTGATACAATTATCAAATTAATTGTGATTAATCGAGTATTGAAATAATCATCAACTAATTTAGTAATCAATTAATCATTAACTGAGCTATCTCTATAGTTATGCTGCTATAGGTTTAGACTTTTGGAGGACATAGGGACCCCCATTTCATCATTCTGCTTCATTCTCTCTCTATTCTCCTATTCTGCAGAATCTGTTAGTTCAATCTCTAACGTTCTGCTCTCTCTGCTTTTCCTCAGAGTAGCTTTGCCTCGTCTGTTCCTGTTTGGCTGTGACGCCATCCTGGAGAGAAACAACAGCTGTGCTGCTTCCATCAACACCCTTGTTTATAGATGCTGGAGATCGGCCTGTTTTCCAGTGTGGTCCTGTTTCTCTGACTGTGACTGGCTGGATGTGCTCTGTTCGTCCTCTGGCATGGGAGCTGGCTCGGAGCTTGTCTGTCTGGCTGTGTGTTTCCTGGACGGGGCTGCCTTTTGCAGCTGCTTTTTGTGTCTCTGCTTCTGTCTCCTTGAACCCCAGTCGGCCTCGGCAGATGGCTGCTCACACTTAGCCTGGTTCTGCTGGAGGTTTCTTCCTGTTAAAAGGGAGTTTTTCCTCTCCACTGTCGCTACAAGCATGCTTAGTGTGAGGGATTGTATTTGAGTCAATGAGTCAATGCAATCAACTGGTTTTCCTTAGAAAACTTTGAATCAATTTGACTGTATGATCTGGTTGAACTGTAAAGTGCCTTGAGATGACATGTGTTGTGAATTTGGAGCTATATAAATAAACTCAATTGAATTGAATAAACTGGATTATAGAGACTCTAAAGTGCATTTAATTGACCGAGCAACCCCCTTAGACCAGTAATTATACCAAGATTGTAAAAAAAAAATATGTAAAACATTTTGCATTTAAGATAAAAAAAAATTTTTTCATGTGTCAATATGCTCTATCCAGAGAAGTGGAAAAGTTTTAATTTCTCCTGGTTTGTTTGTGTAAAAAAATCTTCTATAAAAACTTTGGCTCTCTGATTATTAATTTAAATAATTCTCGACAAATGAATCAATTTGCAAAATAATCGTTAGTTGCAGCCCTAGTTACAACCCGTCTCTGCATAAACTAATTTGACATTCTTGTTCATTATGACTACAACTGATAATCAGAAAACTTTGACTTTAGCTTCTGCATCCTTCCATTGTCAATGCGACCAGTTGAGCATAACTGACAGGGACTGAGCTAAACTTTTCGACTGATGTTTGGGTAAACTGCTCTACTTTGAATTCTCCTCATGTGGTGTGGTCCTCGCAGTTAACCGCAAACATCCTTCCTCTCATCTGCCTCCTGATTAAATTGCCTTAAAGTATCAATCCCATTTAATTACCGTCATTATCATCAATGAGAAATCACCAGTGCCCAAAACGGTAGGGTTAATTAGGCTTTCAGGGACACAGAGATTATTTATCTGGGGTCGCCTGCAAAGGAAAGATACGAACTGGGACTTTAACTCATGTTGGTTGTGCTCAGTTTACTAACCAGCTCACTCAGTCCCCTTGTTTTCACTTCGACTCATTATCCTCAAGCTGCTGGCTCTTTGTTCTACTATCCTGATCTCTTTCTCTCATTTCTTCCCTGTTCTCATCATAATCTACAGATTTCTGCAGGTACTGTACCAGCCCAGTTTAGTTTTCAGCTGATATCCTTTAGTTTTTATTAACCCGAACAGATTAACACAACTAAAGTTTCTTTTATTTGTAGCAAACAGTTATTGTAAAAGGATCATCATCACAACTAAGGCTACGTTCACACCGCAGCCTGAAGTGACCCAAATAGGATTTTTTGGGCCATATGCGACCTGTATCTGAACTTTTCATGGCTGTCTGAACAGCACAGATCCAATTTTTTCTAATGCGACCCAAGCCACTTGGCTATGTGGTCCTGAATCCGATATGAATCTGATCTTTTCAAATGCGAACTGTGTCTGAACAGTCAGGTCGCATTCATCCGACCTGAACGCAATTATTACCCGACAAAGTTCACTATTCTGGGTCTTGCTATGAAGAAGCGGCACGAAAAACAACAGCCATGGCGGACGATGATGCGGAGAGCAGTATTTATGTTTAACCATCTTGAAAAGATTGAGTTTTTAAGATTGGGAAAGATTGCTAGATGCGCTCCGTCACTATCATCCATGTTTACTTCCGTAAAAAAGAGCGCGCTGGCCTGTGATGTCATTACGTCCTCTACTGCTCATGTGGGACACTTCCGTTGTATGACTATAGTTCACACAGGAGATCACATACAAGTCGCATATATTTGAAAAAATAAATAAATTACAAAAAAATCTGAATTGAGCATAGAGGCCTGCAGTTTGACTGTAGCCTAAGTTTAATACACATGTTAAAAAAAAGAAGCAGCTAATTCAAAAAGCAGAAACAGCCAAATGCAATTTATTAACTTATTACTAGTCTATTAAGTTTAAAAATGTTGGTAGAAATGTCAATAATGCAGTACTTATTTCATTAGTTATCATTTTTAAGACATTTACATTATAACATTTTTAACATGTAACAATTTTAGAACATTGATGAGCAGCTAAGCAAATCTGATTAATATAATTCCTGTATTAAATGAAATATTTCCCATAATGAATACACTGATGTAAAAAATGTGCATCTCTGGCCTGAAAGTGATTCATGTACAGATCAGACTGATTATAGCCTGAAAGAAACTGCCTGCTGTCCAGGTAAGAAGAAATAGTCACCTGTTTCGCACCACCGACTGTGTCAGCCTTCACGATCAATCTTCTAGTTCCCTCTTCTCACAGTTTATCACTCAGATGCTTAACTGAGATAGTCACACATTTTACTGGCTGGAAGCTGCAGCTTTGGCAGCAGAGAAGAAGGGGTGACTGAAACAAGTAGCAGGACTTTGATTACTTGCTTCTAAAGACATTAAACCTGAGCTGACTGAGTACATCACTGACATTTAACTGCTCATGGCAGTTGGTCCATTTTTGCACCGATGCAGTTACTGCAGGTTCTGTGACCTTTGATGTCTGTAGAACAGCTGTTTTCAGCAAACTAAGGGTAACTCCAAGTAAAAAGTATTTCTGACAGGGTGTTATGTATAGTTGGTCTGCCTTAATTGATAATGTTTTGGTCTCTTTAAGTGTTCTTAAAAACCTTTATAAGTAATTTGTGGTAGAAGATATATGGTTTATTTTATAAGACGACAGAAACATTTCTATTTGTGTCTAATATTAAAATCTGATTAAACTTTTAATGTTTTACAAAGCTAAGGATCCCCATAACTATTTATATTTACACTAGATTTGTAGGGAATATATGAAGATTGACCTTATATTACTGATTTGTGTGAGTTATTAATAAATGTCAATCTGCCAAACTTAGTTTGAATATTTACTGCTTTACTGTATATGAAACTGAAACCAGCTTACTTTTTGGGTGGCACCTGTCCCACGTTGACCCGGATGCACATGACCTTGCGGGTTTGCACTCCCATGGAGCACAGACCCTGATCCTCTCCATTAGGACGTGCAGAGGTGTTCAGGGATGCTGTTGATGGGTCTTCTGTGCATGGCCCCCAGGGTCCTGTCTGCCAATGGTAAACTATACAGGCATGTTCATTACAGTTCCGCACCTCCTGAAGTGCACTGCTGTTTGGACACAGGGAGCCACCTGAGAATGAAAAATAAAAAGTTGTTTTTTTTTTACTTTAAAGCTCAGTTTAGTGTGAAAGGAAAAAACATGAGGCTCTCGAAGTTGGAATTTGTACCTAAAAATAAAGACAGGTTTCATAAACTACCACTATGGATACTTCTTACATATAAGATGACAGTAGTTTAAATCATAAATAGTCAATTTGTAAACTTATGAGCTTTTGTCTCAAATATCAAATTTTCTATATCAATGGGATTTTGTTTCTATTCTTCTTTCACATTGTCTGAGATTTACTTTTTTGATTAAATAATACAAGTAGTCTAAAATTGAGGAAAACAGGAAACATTTCTAAACACATCACTTCAAAAGCAATTTTTATGAACATGCTGACAGATATTGAATTAAATATTCTCTAATTTCTTAACATCTTGTACAGCATATTCAAATTTTTCAGTTTTTTGAATGAAGCATTGTTTAAGGACAGGTTTCCTCTCACTGAACTAAATAGAAAAACTCTCCGCTTCATCGTTCATCCATCTATTATATACCATTAAAGGCCAGTGTTCCTGTAGTTTTCATTAACTGAAATTTAAAACCTATTAAGACCTTTTTTGAAACCATGATGAATAAATTCGTACATATATCCTAACATATATATGTATATTTAACACAAAAGTTGTTTAAATTTCAGAGTTTTTAAGACATAAAGTTAGATAAAAAAAAAACAAAAAAACAATTAAGACCCTGTTGAAACTGGAAGATTAGTCTCAGCTGTGGACAAACTTAAAAAAATGTTGGCATTTCAAACAGTGACATTTCTGCATTAATTTTGAGGAAAAGGATTTAGTGGATTTGTCAGCGGATGGATAATTCACTGACAAATAAATGTGAATGAAAAAACTGATAAGTTAAGAATGCATTTCAGTTCACTTAATCCTCAGTTGGATTTTCTTTTGCATAAAGAACTGCTTATATGCAGCGTGGTTTGGAGGTGATAAGCCTGTGGGAGTGGTAAGATATAATAAAAGCTTGGCAATAGCTCCTTTATGGGTTCCAGGTCAACTACTGGCCAACCATGTAACACCAAAATCACTAAATTTGTTTGTGGTGGCAGTTTACAAATCCAAAAATTATTCTATCTTCATAAAGCTTGTAAGCAGAAAGAAGAAAGGAATAGTCTTAAGATGGTAGAAGGCTTCATTGACTGCAGACATCTGAAAATACAGCGAGTCTCCACCAGTAAAATGACCAGACATCGAAACTCATCAGTGTTTGTGTAATCTTCACCCTAACAGATTCTGAGCCACTTCTCCCTTTAACCACACTGTAGGAACTTATTAAAAATTAAAATAAAACTTTACTTTCATCTGAAAAAGATGACATTAGTGGCTTACAATAAAGAATGCATTGTTTTGAGCTCATAATTAGTGTTGATCTGATTGCGGTGACTCCAGCCTCAATTCCTTTATTAAACTCATCCAAATACTTTAAATAATTTTTCTTGACTTAGACTTCGACAACTAGCCTATTTTTGTAGAGTTCTAGCTATTTGTAGCATATTTTGTGGAATTGTCGACAGCCATACCAAGCCTAGAGGCGCAGCCATCTTCCATTATGGCAATCCTAACCTCCCATTATCCCTGTTGTACCTTTTCCTACTACAGGTTATCCTTCCACTTAGCGTTACTCTGAATATGCCTGGATATAGCACTGCTTGGGAATGGTTCACTGGTTGCCTTTTGATGACCTATCAAGTCAACAGCCTTTCCAACGATTATGTAGGCCATCAATTTAACATTATGTAACATCCATACATAACATTTATTAAATTAAATTTGTGTTATGTAATGCTGAGATTGTATAGGACACTGAATTTTGGGTTTATATTGTCTGTAAGCCATAATCATCAATACAAACTACAATTATTTCACTCTGTGTAATGAATCGATGTAACTCAGTATAGGAGTCTCAGTTTTTGAAATCAGTTTCAAAGTCTATTTAACCTTTCAGATGAATTTATGTTTTCACCCCTAATCAACATTTAGCAGAAATCAATGTTGCTGTAATCACATCTTGAAGTATTTTAACATTGGGACCTACCAACATTTCATATAGGCATTTAAAAATAAATTTGTTAGAAAATACGTTAAGCTCAGTCAGACCGGATGTGTAAACACCAGTAAGGAGTTTATCAATAAGTTGCTTTCTAAAGACAATTTATCCCACTGATGTTTTGTAAGTTAAGAAGACTAAATACTAATGAAAACCAGATGATTTATATCTTTATTTGCAAAAATCGGTGAATAAATAAAAAACATTTCTCTTCTACTTAAGTCCTGTGACTCTTTTTGTTGTTAAATAAAATTCACAGGATTTTATCGCAACATTGCAAATAGCTGCCTCAATGTTTAACACCACTAACTTTATTTAGATTAAATAACATATATGTGGTTTTAATTCAATACTTCAGAAAAAAATACTAATCTAACGTGATTTTGATATCTCAAAAACAGTTTCTCTCTTTCTGACAGTCTGCTTTGTATTTTGGGATCATGACTAAAGCCACTTAAAGCTTTCAGCAAAGATTTAGAAGTATTGCTGGACAGAAAGTCCTTTACGCCAGTAGATCATAGCTGGACTTGTCAAGAAGGCAGCTTTGAATAAAGCAGTGGTGTTGTGCCAACCTTAGTCCCAAACTACAACTCATAGATCTCCCTGACCTCCTTCCTGCTGACTGTGCTGAAAAACCTAAGCTGACTGAGCAATAAGAGTCTCTAGACAAACATGACAAGTGAAAACAAACCACTGACAGCAGAAACATAGAAACAGCAGCAGATGGAACATGGATAATATGTGAAGCCCTCAGAAAAACTCCACTCTTTATTGTCGTCAAACACATGTGAAGGAATACTTTTAGACTATTTTTAATCAAAATGTAAAAAAAAAAATCAGAAAATAAAATACATAAATTAGTCAGTATATTCATCATAACAATAAAGTTAGAATAGGTATGTCTAAATTCTGACTTTTAAAAATACAACCTGGAAAAACTGAAACTATACAGCAGGACTGAATGACAGAAAAATATTAGAAAATAATAGACTGTTATCTTCCCTGATGGAGGGACAGACAGAAATAAGTGAATGGATGGATGGAAGGAAGGACGGTTAATTAACAACTTTACCTCAATAGTATAAAAAGCATCAATTCAGAACAAATATTTAAAAAACAAAAAGTTTGAAAATATATATATAATAATAATCTCTGCTTTCCAAAACCTCAACAACAAGTAAAATAATAAAAAAATATATATATCCACACTATTCCAGACTGCTAAACCCTCAGTATTAAACATAAAAAAGGTGTCTCTCTTATGTTTCGTAGTTTTGGTCAAAGAACAGCTTTTTCTTTTTCCTCTATTTATTTTAAATTGCAATAATTTCCAAGATAAATTATATTTTGTAGCTCATTCACAAATAGCTTAACATGAATCTTGAACATCATTCAAACTGATAGGTGTCAAACAGTGAGACCCATGTTGGGCTTTCCAAAGTCCCTCTATAATCACCACTGAATAGGCAGTTATGCTAATTAGGTCATTAATTTGCTAATTAATGCTCTAAATAAGACAGAGTCCTGTGCAAACATGGGCGGCTGCATATTAAAATGATCCCTGCGTCTTAAACTTGAGTGGTTCCTGCAGTTTCAACAAATTCTTTTCCTTCATTAATATTCCAAAGCTACAAAATCTATCAGGAGCTAAAATCTAATCAGATAATCTACTCTACTATGCAGAGGAGGAGAGGAAAGGCTTATTTTTTCTTAAGCATGTTTACTTAAAATTATTAGACAGAATAAAATCTGGTTTTATGAAGGCATTTTCATTCTGATGCTACAACTAGCCTAATAAGAATCAAATATTACCATAAAGTTCTGGGAACTTGGGGACCCGTGACAGACCTGGATAGGAAATTAATTCAAATGTTAATATAGCAGTTAAGGGCCAAACAAACTAATACTACAGCAGCAGAACAACAGTCAAGCTATTTTGCACAAGACCAACAAGGCCTGTCTGATTTAGAAAGCAACATGCTGAATTAATTCCGAATCAATTATACGTTTCCCTTAAGGGACTACGACAGCATTTCTTCTGAACTCCAAACAAGCCAACTATTTTATGCAAACACATAGCTAGAGGTTTAAAATAGCTACTGGGATTCTTTAATTAGAATTGTTACCCTCCATCACTGTGATCCATGCCACAACCATTGCAATGACTGTGAGGAGAACACAAACCCAGATAAAAACACAGAAAACAACAACAAAAAAGAAGGAAAGCACAGCTTTAAACTCCAGAGAATATAAGCATATGAAGATAATCGATCTGATTGAGAGTTAAAAAGTGTCCGTCCGGTGAGAAGACAGACGGACAGAAATAATTATCATGACAAATAAGCAGAATGTGGTAGATAAGGACAGATGCACAGGCAGACAAGTGTAAAATCAGATTCTTGGAGACTGACAGCAAAGGACAACTTATAAATGACTTTATCTGCATGTCTTCTCAATAACAACAGTCAATAACAACAGTGTGGCAGGCAAGTGCAAACTGACCTTCCCCGGCGTTGTATGCCAGAATGGAGCGGGTCCTCATTTGTTTGCCCTCCACGGTTTTACTTGAGCATGTCTGAGAACAGGTTGACCAGGGTGTCCAGTCGCTGAGCACACAGTCTCTTGCGCAAGGGACCTCACAGGAGATGGGCTCCAAAGTTGCAGAGGATGAGCAGAGACTCCTATCCACAGGCTCACCTGAATAAAAACAAGAGGGTCAAGGTTGGGAAGTTTACAGCTTTTATTGTAAGGTTACTGTAATTGTAAGTCCAACAGAAATTTAGATAAACATGAAACTCTTCTCTCAGGTTTGGGCTTAAAATACAACCCTAAATAAAAGACTTTCTGGTCAGAGTTTTTTTTTTTTTAAGGATTTTTTTTTTACAGATACTAAGATCACACAAATTCACACCAACAAGGAGCTGAATGTACAGGCAAAGCTTGGAATTTACCCTAGACGTTTCAACTCTCACAAACTTTGATGAGCATCCAGTGAAGGTTTCCTAGATGTTTCCAACTGAGATATTCCCAAACACCTAAGGGCAAACTCAAGAGTAGTGGGACAAACTATGTCTCATGGCTCCTTTGAATGATCTGCAGGAGTTGGACAATGAGAGAGGTATTGAAATGTCTGCAAGAGCTGCTGTCAATAGAGACATCATTGGTTGGAGCCAGAGATGGTGGAGTGGAATACAAAAGAATAGAACAGATATATCCTTTATCATTCCTGTAATTTGGGTCAACTACTTGCAAATTGGCTAGAGGCATGCAGACTTCCAAAACTGCATTTAATAAGATACCCTAAGGCACTTTCCCTTCGAAAGCGTTGATGATGTTGATAGTGCAACTGAAATCAGGGAAGTAAATAATGGAGAGCAACATGGACAGGAGCCAGAGCGTAGTCAGTGTGCATTATTATTTCGCTCTTATATCTTTCTGAATCTCTCTCACCAGTGCTGTGCTATGCTTATCGAATGTAAACAGTGTTTTTTTTCGGCTTTTTAGATCAGACATGGCATGCGCGGTTTGTTGACCTCCATATATTGTAAGCTGTTCCCACTGCCAATAAAAGGTAATTGTTCCCGGATTTTTTCTGGCCAGTGTGAAAGGGGTATGACAGTCCAATGTTTTAGTCAACAATCCAAAAACATTAAATTGACAAAGCTTTTTTTCGTGATAATTCTGAGATAATTATAAAATAAACACAACTCTTGGGTAACTAAAAAATGATAGTGAGATCAAGACTAGACAATAATTTTGAAAAAGATTCTTTGGAAAAACACAATTAATGCCATTTTCCCTTTTATGTTTTTAATCTGTCATCCTGTGTTTATTTTGCCCAGCTTTCCATCACCTATAGGGCAGCAGCTAAATGTTAAAGGCTTGGTGGCCGGACACCACAAAAGGTCCTGCGGATATACTTTAAATATGATCAATTCAAAATAAAGGCACATATATTTTAGAGACAGACTGTGGGGGAAATAAACTGAGTGAGTAGCTGTCTTGTAATTATGATAAGTGAATCTTTTCATGTTTGTTATACTGGGTTGATCTTTGCCATAATCAATGTAGCAATGGTTCAATTCAAGTGGTGACCTGAAGTGTCTATTTTAAGAGCAGTTTTTGAGTAACTTTAATAATCATTGTGATTTGTGAAATACGAGTGATTATTTGCTAAGTTTGGATACATGCGAGTTAAAAATGAAAGGGGAATAAGAGGTGTACTGCTGTAAAAAGAGGTAGGGACTCCATGGACAAAGAATGAGGAGGAAGAGAGGATCACATAATTAAATGTACATTTCTTCTGCTGTATTAGCTAGTAGCTTCAAGTTTTAATAAAAATACATAATATAATATGTAGTGTAATATGTAATATAGTACATTTTGGCATTTTATTAGTTGAATTAACATGAGTAATAATATAAAATATGTATTTAGTCAAAATACCCACAAAGTAAAGATGATGAGTTAGATGATAAATATATTCACATGGATATATTTAATAAAAAAGATGATACATATATTTGTTTTATATTCACTTACTTTATAATAGGTTTATATACAAAGTGTAGACTACACAGGAAACGTATCTTTTTTCAGACTAGAACTTGACTAAAACTTTTGTGTAAAGCCCCTGTCACACCTTGATGATTTAGACCAATGTATGCATGCTCAAAATTTCCCAACATATACCAGCATACTGTATGCTATACGTCGGCCATAAGTAAGAGGTAAGTTATCTAATCGTTGACATACTTTTAGCATAACTTACTCATAAGTCGTGGTTTCCAGCTTACACAAAACCTGAGTAACATCTCCTCTGGACTGCATCCCCATCATAGTGTGAGCATGAAGGTGAGTGTGATGGATCCTCCCTGCCTTCATACCAACGACCAACAAACTTCCTAGCAGACATAACGCTGAATCTGCTACTACTGCAAATTCTCTTTCTTTCCTTTTCTTTTTCTTTTTATTTATTCTGTTTTTTTTTTTTTTTTTTTTTTTTTTTGGTGGGTTGTATCATCACTGCTCCTGAGGAGAGCAAGGTGTGACAGGGCCCTGAGAAATGACTTAACTGTGACAGGGCAAAACTGGACTAAGAACTAAAGGCTCCCAAAAACAACACTGTCATGTACTGATTGTACATGTAAAATGTAAAAAAGTTATTCAAAGTAGCTTAGTCACGTTCATCTGTGCCTGTAAGGTTCAGCTGTCTGATACTGAAAGATCAATGCTATGACAGAGGGATTTTTTTTTTATGTACAAAGGTTTTTTTGTATTATTATAGATTTAGTGTCAGCATTATTTATAAGCCTTTAGCCGTAGAAACTCAGAATAATTTGCTCCAAAATGGAGAGAAGGATTATCAAGACTGCCTTTCATATAGCAGAGGGCACTTGTCACAGAGACAGCATTTGAAACTTGGTCTTTCAGACTAGCACAATTTAAAAAGCAAGAGATATAAAATAAGATACCCCATGGGGTTGAACAGGACATTGGCCATCACATTTTTCCCTAATGCATGAGGGGCAGTAGAGAGTAATCTTAAATGCTTTGTTGTGAAGAAGTAGTAAAGAATGGGCATATGAAGATGTTGCTCAGAGTTGTTTATCAGCCTACTTTTCTTTATCCCATCAGCAGGATGAGGTTAGAATGAACATTAACTTGTTACCAGCGAGCAACGAACTTGAACTCAGGTCAAGGTTAGCAAGTCTCTCCACCAGCGTTAAGAAAAGCCTTTTCTGGTCATAAAGGTAATGATTGTATAGCCCATCAAGGTCATTTATGCATTTAAAATTTTTCATACTGAAAAATAAAGTGCCACTGGATTCTGCTTTAGTATTTTATAGAAAATACAGGAAATATTTAGAGTAAGAATACTCACCTCCAATTTAAAGTGCTTCTACCTAAATAAGCTTTAATCTGTCAGTCAGACCATGTGTGTTTACCTAATATGAAAGAAATTGATGAAAAACTAATTTGTGCTTAATTTAAAGACAGGTGGCTTTGCTGTTAATTTACTGTAGCAGGCAATTTATTTCCCTGTAGACTTTATAACTTACAAGCCACCATCTGGCTTTTTATGTAAGATCTAGTAACAGCCACATTCTGGAGGCAAAAAAAAAGAAAAAAAAGAGGAAAATTAAATGTGCGAACATAACCCTAAATCTGTAAGATGTTTTGTAATTAAGCAAATGCGGCACCTTTATATCTTTGTTAAATGAGGTGGATTCTAAACTGTAACTTAAGCAGCAATTTATATTTAAAGTGAGGAGTCGCATTTTAAAATGTGTTAAAATGAATGAAAACAAAGGAAAAGTAGGCCATTATGTCTGGCCATGAATAGGTATATTCTTAAAATACCACAGAAAGGTACAGTTGTTTGTGTTTTATAAAATCATTAAAAAAATTATGCTAAAGGTGTTAATTTAGAAAAGGATCATTCTTACAGTATGCCCATGTGTTTCCAAATCATCAAAATTGGGCCCATATCATGAACGTAACTTGTTCTCTGATTTTACAAAAGTTATCTAGTCAATTTCACGCAAAATATATAACATGTTGGCAGATGAAAGCACATCTAGAGCTTAAATAATTTTCTTCTAAAATGACGCTTTCACATTAATTAATGTATCAGATCTTAGACTGTTGAAGCAGCTAAGAACATGAACAGCTCTGTCCTTTAATTGATGGCCACATGTGAAGCGCACAGCTGAAATGAAGTGAAGACGTGTTGTTTTTCCATAAGAGCTTGAATATTTCAGGAAGTATGATCTTTCAGCAGGTATGAGAAGAAACTAGAATGTATAATAAGCGAAGAAGACGGTAAAGAGACACCATGTTTAACTAATTGATCAATTTTAGAAAATAATACAGAAAACCTTTGTTGTACCTGAGTAGGGAATTATATATGTCCCAGTAGCAAAGCAAAACACAAATGGAAGACTATGGATATACATGAGGGGATGGAGATAAAAAAATAAAAGTATGGTAAAAGAGACTGCAGTACGAGCTATGTAAATTGAGAAGCTCAAAGCCATCTCTGAATCGGTCATGTGACCTAGAACGATGCTTTATGGGAGTCTGAGTTCCTCTTGGGCACTAGAGTGAACTAAGCTAAAAGTTTATTTAACCCAACAAAACAGATATGATTACTTATCTGATGTAGGCTTGAATCTAAAGGGTTGAACCTGGCCTTGTCTTTCCAAAGCAGGTCCATGGCTTCTCAATCTACAGGCCCAATATTTCCCTCTGAGTTTCAAAAACAAAAAGGGAAACTGGCTTTGCATCAGTGCAGTGTTGCAAGTTGCTTTCAGGGGTACCAAAACCTGAAAGTTACAGGTCTAGCACCCCTATTGGATTAGGTTTTACAGTGTTTTTTTTTTTTTTTTTTACACAATGTTTGAGTTGTAGATAAGTAACTTAGAATTTTGGAGGTTAAATTTACCGTGCAAATGATGTAGATTGGCCATGACTATAAAGGTAAATAAATGTGCCAATATGCGTCTCTTTCTGGAGTGCACACACCCCGTCTGACCATTCAAACAAAAATGAATGATTCTGGCATACAGTAGGTGTGCATGTAAGAAAAGTTTTGGGAGCCCATCAAGCCACTTTAATCTAATTTAAGTTTTGGAAGGTGTTTCTTATAATGAGATTTTGTTGGGAAACAATAACCATTGAGGCGTTTAGCCATT